GAACCACAGGAGTTACAATGTATGTCATCTAGGCCTTCTATTTTTTTCTCATTTTGCAGATAAAGAAAAAGAGGCACATGAATGTTCAACAGTTCACTAAGATCACTAATGGTGCTAGCATGCAGATTTTCTCCGAGTGCATGGTCAGTCTACCTATTACTGACAAAAACTGAAGAAAAACATAGCTGATTGCAACTGTCAGTGGGTTTTGGCAAGTCCAATGGAATCTAACTGGTCAAGATGGGATTTGACTGAGATAGTGAGGTTAACATCTTCACTGTTTTCAGAGAGATCAAGGCATGTTTTGATGTTGTTTTCAGAAAGATCAAGATCTAAGCGTTGTGTCTGACTTTGAGCAGCCACAGCTAGGATCCTAGCACCACACCAGATAGACAGGATGTGGGAAGAGATCTAGGGTAGTTTGATTACATAGACAAAATAGAAAAGAGCCTATCTAGAAGACACTCCAGAGAGAAGCTTTTTGGAGACCTTGCTGTAGTTCTTTTTGTAAAGCATAAACTCAGAAGTGGGAAGCCTGTTCACCCCAGTTATGAAGTAGCTGAGAGCCAAGGATTTAAAAATAGAATGAGTGTGCAGATAACATATAGAGCTTGTCTTTAGGGACATACCATCTGGAAAAGATACGGCATGCAGAGAGAGACAACAAAGTAAAATGCTCTTTCAAAACTTTAATTTGCTACTTTCTAGGCTACATTTCCTCACTGGAACATATGTCCTAAGACAAGGTGAACAGTGGGGATGGTGTACATTGAAAATAGTCTCTTACATTTCTCCAAACTTATTCTCTCCATTCTAGACCCATACTTAATTAAGGGAGCAATTCTCTGTCATCTCTAAAGACTTGTACTCTAATGTTGAAACAGCAGCTTGAAGAAGAGTATGGAGAGAAAATATTAAATATGAACAGGAATCCCAGGGCCCGCAACATCCCCATATAATCAGTCCTTCTCCTAGAACTGCACACTAAGGACCCTACAAGTAATAGAGTCAGTTCTCTGAAGATCAATACATGCAAATTACTCACTTACATGTGCTTTGACTCTCCTGAGCCTCCCACCTTCTCTCAACCCCAATCAAAATGCCCTCATTGTTGTGGAGTAGGAAAGGGAGTCCTTAAGTTAAGAAGTTGAATCTGGAAAAAACTAGGGCCTTGGCCCTTAATTTTTAAGGAAAGGGTACTCTGAGAAAAACTCGATTTTGCTATGCACATCACCCAGTCTCTCCCTTAATTTTGCTAGAGGGCATCTTCCAGGAAAAAGTGATAGTAATGCCTCCCTTAAGGCCCCTAAGTAGCTTTCCCAAAGACAAGATGAGCTTCCTGATGATTATCCTCATACAACAAAATGCTATTATTTGTACTTCCCCAAAAACTATGAGGGAAAGAGCATCTTTTAATTAAGCATTAGGGGTGGAGAGATGAGAGCATCAACCCTCTAAAAATCAGCCATTTAGTTGCTCTGATCTTGAAGCGTGACATAAGGATATGCCTTTAGGTGAAACCTTTTCCTACTTGGACCAGCCCTGGCCTTACCTACTTCAGCTGTACAATGGTGTCACTTAAAGTAGAGCACTCATCTGGAGATTAAAGTTCTTTCTATTCCTGCTCTTATTTGAAGTATGATTTCTGTCAAGGTACTTAATATCTTTGGACCGGTTTCATCAGCTATAAAATGAGGGGTAGAACTAGAATTAAGACAAAGGTGAAAAAGAAAAATCTCCAAATCATTATTATGCTTTCCCACATACAGGACTCTTGGAAGTTATCTCACTCAAGGGTAGACTCTCACTTTCATTTAGGTCCTTATAATTAGTCCAGCATAAGACGGCATGGCCATAGAACTGTAGTTGTATCCCAAATTCTGAAGAGAAAGGATCGCCTTCATCGTGGCATCTCTTCCTCTATATTTGAAAAACATATTCAATATAAATGAAAGGTCATAGGTGAATGGATTGTGCTTTAAGTAAGTTTTGAACATAGACGCCATCTAGTCTTTGCATTCTGCAAAATTCTTCTTTAAGTGAATAAATGTGTAGAGTAACTCTCCATTACCTTGATCAGCATCTAATACCAACCTGACACTTAGAATTAAATTAAAGAAACAAAATTGGATACTTTGAGACTTGAGGGCTGATTATACCACCAGAGCTAAGAGTGGATTTAAACTCTTTCCTTATCCCATTTAAATCTAACTAGATATAAACTCTCCATTACTGAGGAATAGAGGTGTGTCTGCAGAGGTGGAGGTTCCCCTTGATGTTCCTGGATAAGGAAACCTAATCCTTTCTTCTGACACACATGGTAGCAATAGAAAGCGTTCCCCAACTGCCAGTCTGGTTTTAATCTATTGTTTCAAGCAAGACGGGATTTGCAGGGAATGTTAAGGCAAGAGCAAAATTACCAGAACTTACTATAAAATAAAAGTGTTGATGAGAAATCAAATTTTAAACAAGTATCCAAAATTGTAAGCATGAACACATGTAGACATACAGTGCATGGTATACGTATACAACTATAAAAATTTTTAATTGTAAGTATATCTAAGGTCTGCTTTCAATACAACATTTATATCTCATTTCACTAAAGTTTTTTGGCTTACCAAATGACAGCAATGGAAAAATATTGCCAATAAATACAGTGGTGCTTCATTTAAACAACACTATTGGACAATGAAATATACCATTAAGTCAACTTTTCATGTAATCAAACTAATCCTGCAATATGCAAACTTTTAAAATGTTAACCATTTTGTATGGAAACATTTCAAAAGTATATTAGACAATTTCCTTTTAGAAGATACACTGAATAACATATCTTTTCCTGAAGATTCACGATTAACATTTAAAATACTTAGTAAAATATGCTGAATATACTGTACTTAGAAGAGCAGAAGATGGTGAGCTCAGATTATGGTGAGCTTTTTGGTGATACTTTCCCCAACACCAAAAGGTTTCAGAATGCCCTTGTAAAACAAGAACAAAAGCAGACAAAACTAGCTTGCTTTTAACAGGTCTATTGTCTTTTCTGTTGTCAGCTGTCCCTTCTGGCTGTTAAAAGCATATCAACCAGTGACAATTAGTTATGTACTTTGTGAAAATAAAATTTAGATTCAAAAGATCTGTCTCCTCTGTGCAAGGGACTATACTAGGTGCTAGAGGAAAAGTAAGAAATACAAAATATAGTCCTCGTCCAAGAAGCAACCTCGTTGGCTGAGTGACACTCAAGAGGCACCAGGTCACCACTGAAGTGGGCCCAAGTTTGAAAATTATTTATTTAAAAAAACACATATATTGAAATGATTACCCTTGTGTTCTGATATACCTTCTTCAGTGGGAGTATGACTTGGAAATATCTCCCATGAAAATATTATCAGTCACGTGAGTCTTGGTAGATAACAAGACTAATATTACTGCTTGAAGAAATAAAGCGGGCAGGCCCCTTGACAGCTTTCTGCTATAACCCTCATCTTATTGCTAGGCTTTAGCTTACAATCTGGATGGCTGAGGATGTCTCAAGTCTAATCTAGCTAATTCCTAGGGTCACTGAATCTAATTAACAACGTATCTGTTAAAAACTGTATTTTAATGCTTTGCTGAATATATATAGAGTACAAAACACTTAGCTATTTTAAAAAAGTGCATGTTTACAAGAGATTCTGTATATCTTTATAAAGATCAATCATCACTTCCACTAGCAAGGTCTCTTTCCTGGGTTTCACTAATACTACATTATTTGGGGTTTTAAATATCCTTTGGCTATTCCTTTTAATTTCCATCATCTGACCACTTTTATTCCACAAACTCTACCTGGTGGTCTCAAAGATTTCCTTGGTTTCAATTACCATCTGTTCTGTAGTTCAGACCTCTCTCCTGAGCCCCAGACCACATTTGGAAGTGAGACAAAATCAAACTGATCAGTTTTGTTGAAGATGAGATTTGATTTCTTCAGTTGCCTTTTTTTTTGCCTTTATCCCTATAATTCCTTCCCTGCTTATTTCTATATTACACCAATTATGCTTAACTCCACCAGTACTCTGTACCATTCTTATGAGATTTTAACATATGGTTTTAATTTATAAATTTCATCTTAACCTGTTAGATTTCAGTTCCTTTAAGAGTATGACCATCTTTATTCCATTTATCTCCTACCTCTCCTTATGGTAATATGGTAATTCTCAGTGTTTGTTCAATGGATAAATACAACAAAACACATAAAGGAATTCTGACGAATCTTTTCCAGTTATATTTTTACTGACAGATTCTAATCTGTCTGGGAGCTTTTTTGTGTGCATTAACAGAAACAGGAGTACTGTGTTAACTCTTCTCATAATCTAACCCAAAACACAAAACAATTTCTTCTATCAGGTATCACCTTCTGCAGCCTACCCTGGACCACGTTGAAGCACTACAATCCTAATCACTCCGCCTCTCCAATCTTAATGTTTGCTTCTTTAACACCTCAAACAGTGCATCATTTATCCGCTACGCCATTAGGCCTGTACAATTCCTGAAGGCAAGATATGTCTTTCTTTGCACCTTTAGTATCTAGCAGATGGTAGGTTTCAACAAACCTTTGCAGACTGAAATAATTAATGAGGCCACATAGGTCTCAAAAGACCACTTACTGCCCTCTAAGAGGATTGGGGAGGCCCCATTGCTAGAGAAACTTCTTAGAAGCTGCCGCAGGATGACTAGGGTCCGAAAGGCAACTTACTTGACTTTCTTCCAGTCTAAAACGCTGCTACTAATATCCCCGAAGGAGATTTTCTCTCCAGGAAGCCTGAGCAAAGACTGGGTCGCCAAAGAACACACTAAAGCTAAGCCCCACCCGATTCCTAACCCCACCTGCTCTGCAAAGAGCAGACTCTTCCGGCAGCAGCACAGCGGCGCCCCGCCCCGAAGGCATGGGCGCATGCGCGGCAACAAAAAGAGCCGCGAATCTGGAACGGTCTCCCTGAGCAGACGTCACTCAAGACAAGACGGCTCCGCCCTTCTCAAGATGGCGCTGCACTCAATGCGGAAGGCGTGTGTGTTCCGGAGCTTCATCCGGGCACTTCATAAAGGACGCGAACCTGCTCCCGCTTCCCAGGTAACCAAAGCTGGCCGTTCTCATGCCGGTTTCCCATCCCGTTAGGTCCTTCTCGTCCCTCCTCCCTCCTTCCATTTGCCTCCCTTGTCCCGTTTCCCTTGCAGAGTATCGAGCCGGTTCTATCCTAAGGTCGCCTCGCCTAAGACTGCCCTCCTACTCGGAGCGTGGCTACGTTGCAAGGATGCGTGCTGACGTAACGCGCCACTGGTGGGAGGAGCGCGCTCTCGCCGGCCCAGTCCGCCTTTCCCTGGCTCCCTGGGATTGACGTCCTGCTGCTGTTGCCGAGCAACGCGGAAGCCAAGCCTTGTGTGAGGTTATCACAGACCAGAGGGCTGGTCTTTCTGGGACTGCCCACCTTCTCGTAGTCCCATTACTGTTTACCTCACAGCAAGCCGAGGGGCCAGCGGAGAAATTAGAGGTCTTGTTAGCAACTGGGCGGTTTAAATCGGTGGAGCTTCTTGACGTCCTCCCTCTGGCAGTGCGGTACTTGAGCAAGTGTCGGTGCACCTTCCACCCTGGTTCCCCCTCATGCCCCAGTGTGGACCGGTATGTAGCAGGTGTGTGAAGGAATTACAGGAAGCGGCCAAAGTGCTTCGTCCTGCCCTGCGCCTGGCAGCACTGCTGTTACTATTAATCTGCCGTGCCAAGAGCATCAACATGGCCTTCAAACTGTCCCGTCAATGTTTGGAATTTTATCCTCATGGCAAAAGAAAAAAATATATATTTATATATAAATATATATTCACTCATTCAGACATTTACTTCACTCATTCAGACATTTACTAAACGTCTTCCAAGTGCAATCTCAGTGCTAGGCACTTTGCCATACATCTCTTGAGAGATCTTCTGGGAACTAGGAAGAAACTTGAGATTCTGTGATTATTAGGTGATTTCCTGGCATCCTTGCATATTCTTTGTCACAATGCGTGTGAGGATTTTGTATGGTAACTGGTGTATTGGAAAGAGCACTAGACTGGAAGTTAGAAAACCAGAGGTCAAGAGATTTGTCTGCCACTTGCTGGCTGTGTGATGTGACAAGTCACTTAATCTCCCTGGGTTTATTTTCTTTAGCAAAATGGGTGGAAGAAGGTTTGGACTGATTGACACGTTAATGTTCCTTCAAGCTTTGGAAAATCTATGACTCCATGATTATGAAGCCAAAGTAAAGCAATGAGATTATGAAAAGCAAGATTTAAGTTCAACGTTTTTTTCTGATCATCCCATAAATTACTTAACATTCTGTCCTTAAGTTTTCTTCATTGATATGGTCCTCACAAGATTCTTGTAAGTACAAAGGATATTATACCAGAAACTTATTTGTCAAAACAGCTATTTAAATGTTATTTTAAATTTCAGTCAGTAATGTTAGGTAAGAATTGGTTCAAAATTAGATAAATCCATCAAATATTCCTCTCTTTGAAGTTTGAGGGTTTGATTCTGCAGAACTAGAATTGGTTGATTACTATATTTATCACAAATAGTGTCATATTAAAACCTATGGTACCAAAGTAACTAAGCCTTAGACACAAACTTCCTCTCATTCCAAACTCAAGAACTGAGGATGTCATGAGAAATAGAGAATCAAAGAGAAAAAAAACAAACTAAGCCCACTAACGATTGCCCATGGAAGTTGAGGGCACTAAATCATTATAAATGCTAAAGAAAAAATTTCTTAAACCTCTGCTATTGTTTCTTTGGCATTTATGAATATGGTTATCTTAAAGTTAATCAAGTATTGATCTAGATTGTTTCAAGATGTAGAATTTCCAGAACAGATTAGTGTTCCCAAACCTTTAATTGGGCTTTAGGTAGACTAAGAATCAAATGTGAGAGCATTTTTTTAAAGTATAAATCTGCATATAATTTTCAGTCATTAAAAATGATGGCTTGAAAGGCTAATGCAGTCTTTTGAAAGACCAATTGAGAGAAGATACAAAATTGCATTCATAGTGTAATTACAATATTATGTTTGTTAATAAATATTTATATAAATATATGCACATGAAAAAAAGACTGGAAGGAAATGACCATTGGTAACTTTTTTTATTTCGCTTTGCTCTTCCTAAATAGTGGATTAAAAGTGATTTAAATTTTCTTCTTTAAGCTTTCTGTATTTTTCACATATTCTAAATTGAAGATATATCACTTTTTAGATCCAGAATAAAGTTTTAAAGCATAAATCTCCATATAAATGAATAGTCATTAATATCATCTGTGATATTTTAGGTCCCTGAGAGAAATATGTGTTCCAGAGTGCTGTTATTAAAATGGCCTTAGAAAAGGACTACTAAAAATTTATGACCACTTTTCCTGTATGTATCTTCTTGTTCTCTTGAAGAGCTTCCTTTGAAGTCAAAGATATTTTGTGAACACGTGCAGACATATGTGAAGGAAGAATTGGATTCTTAAACCAGATGCATTAGACATTTTTATGATATCTCATAACCTTTGTAGAAAACAATAATTATTTTGCAAGAGTTTAGTATAATATAAAGAAATGTATATTTATCATATGGATGATTCTATCAAAAACTAAGAAATAGCTAAGTTGCTTGTTATTAGTTTTGGCTGCTCAGTTACTCCCTGAAGTGAGAAGCAGAAGGGATGAGCCATGGCATTGCTTTGCTGGAAACTGACTGCTAGAGTATTTTGAGTCCTACGTTGTTTTAATGTTTTCTTAAAAAAGCAAAATCTTGGGTACTAAGCTTGGCATTGGGAACCTTTTGTTATCTCAAAGGGAGGCTTTTGCTCCTCAAGGCTAGATGCAGACTCATGTTTAAAATAAAAACAGGAAACAGGAATAACAGTGTATCAAGCCATAATCATTATGAGATGTCCACAAATTATACGAAAGCAGTTTATTTTGCCAGGTGTTGCCTGATAGAAAACTGTTGAAGTCTAGCAAGATGAGAGTAGTCACAAAGTCAGAGGAATGAAGATCTGACATGTTATGTTTAAATGCTGATGGCATTAGGTAAATTTAAGTGTGTAGTCATTGGCCAAACGCAGAATCCATACTTCTTTAAGCACTAACTTATGATTGTAGTGTTTTATGATTGCAATTTATTGTTTATGATTGCAAAGAGTAAAATACTGATGGCTAGTAGACTTTTGCAAGAATATTTGTAATTATTCAGTTGAAGTATAAAATATCCACATTTTATCACAGTTGAACAACACACTTCATTATTAGCTATCCCCACCTGGGTGTGGCCAGTGCTAACATACCATTCCTACTAAGTATAGGCATTAAATGAAGAAATCATGCCTGCAAAACAATAGGCAATGTATTAAATTTTTGATCTTGTATTTAGTTCTCACAACAAGACTTTTTAAAAATTGCTCTCTCTTTTTCAAATTTTTTATTTTAAAGTAATTTTAGGTTTACAACATTGCAAAATTAGTACAGAATATTCCTGTATACCCTTCACTGAGTGTCCTCTTACTTAACACAATGATCAAAGCCAAGAAATTAACTTGGTACAACACTAGCTACAGACCTATTTCAAATTTCACCAGTTTTTCCACTAGTCTCTTCCTGGTCAAGGATCAAATCCAGGATCCCATATTGCATTTAGTTGTCATGTCACGTCCAATCTATGGCACTTCCTCAGTCTTTCATGACATTCGCACTTTTGAAGAGAATCAGTCAATTATTTTGCAGAATGTCTTCCAATTTGTGTTTTTCTGATGTTTTCTCCTGATTAGAGTGAGGTTATGGATTTTTGCAAGAATACCGCAGAAGAGATATTGTTCATAACAAGGCTTTAAGGCAGGTGTTAGCACCTTATTTTAAATCATGAGGAAGTAGACTAAGTAACTTGCCTAATGTCACAAAGGTAATTAATGGTGGAATTAGGATGGTAAAATATGGGATTTCATTTCCATATTTTGCAATTAGTATTTGTTATTTTAGGTTTCTGTGATCTTAATGACATTAAAATGGGGTAGTGTTCTCAGTGACTTTTCCCTTAGCTTTTCTCTGCCATGTATCGTCCATCCAGCGTGCAACCTGAGCTCATCAGCATGGAGAGCTATCAGGAGCTGCTATAGCCATCTAGGAGTTTTTCTGGATGATAACTCTGCCAGTTTGATCAGACTACTTTATCTCTCTGTGCTTTTCTTAAATGGTAAATAAGGGTGTTGTGTGGATCCACCCTACAGCCCCTTTTAATCTCAATCAGTCAATGAGTATGTTTGTTTAAATGCTCATTAGGTTGGTTTTCCTTGTGAACTGATTTAGCTTATTAGAACGAATATTTCAATTTTTAAAAATACCTTTGAGTAGCTACTGAAAACTCCTGATGGTAACTGCTGAAAATATAGAGGAGGAACAATAGATAAATGCTGAGGATTTATGCTAGCAACTATTATGGCAGCCACAGCCAGGAAATGCTAAAGGGAGTAAGGCTGCTGACCCCAGGTCCTTTCTCAGTATATCTGTTGCATGCCTGCAGGTTACAGAACTGTCTGCAGAGGCATACACAAATATATGTATTTAAGCCAATATACATAGACATCCCTGTCTTTCAGAAAAAGAACTAACATTTAGCTAGTGCCTGCTATGTGCTAAGGCCTTGCACTGTGATGTGCTGTATGTACTTTATCTTATTTATTTCTCACAACAATCCTGTAAGTATTATTCTGCCCATTTTATAAAGAGGAAACTAAGGCTCTGAGAGATTAGGTAACTTTCCCAAGACATAGAGCTAGTCAGTGGCGGTACCAGGATTCAAACTCAGCCTTAACTGTGCTTTTCCCACTTGATCAATAGTAGTCTCTTATCAAATAAAGTCTTATATGAATCCCTGTTAGATAAAACAGACAAAAGCAGAGCTTTTCTGAGTTTAGGAGTAGAAGAGGAATTACAGCCCTACTTACTTGGCCCCCTCCCCCTGCCCACCACCCTCCCTCCACACACAACCAGGGACCCCTGAGATGGTGCCATACAGTCTTGAATTTCTTAAGATGAAGTTTGAAAAGTACTTTAGCTTCCTTAA